GACGGCAGTGGCTCTGCCGATGACTCACTCTGTGACCTTAGACCGGTCACTTAACTTCTCTGATCCTCTTTGTGTAAAAAGGAGATGATCTTACCCAGCATTTTGCAGCCAGGTGCTCTGTTTACCAAGTGTGGGTCTCATTTGTATTGGAGCTGGGGGCCTGGAATTGTGCCATACTGCCCGCTCAGCCCCCCATCTGTTGACAGAGGAGTTCCGCGGGGTCACCGTGGTGGAGCTGACCAAGAAGGAAGGCAGCACGCTGGGCCTAACCATCTCAGGTGGCACCGACAAGGATGGGAAGCCCAGGGTCTCCAACCTGAGACCGGGGGGGCTCGCAGCCAGGTGAGGAGTGGGCTCCGTGGGGCAGGAGGAGGCGGGCAGGGGCCAGCGGAAAAGGTACCAGGGCTGTCGGTAAAGCCATCAGTCAGTTGTTTGCAGGAGCGCCCCAGTGCTCCTTGGAGGGAGGCCTCCGGTCAGCGGTGGCTGTAATTCTAGGCCCCAGCTTCTTCTTTTCCCCTTTACTCAAGGGGCTGGCTCGACCACAGCATCCCACTCTTGCCAGGCCCTCCAAGCTTTTGCACATGCAGTTAACTTGCCAGAAGGTCTGTTCCCCGCTGGCAGCCTCCTATTCATCCATCCACACTGCCTCTGGGAGGCCCCCCGTACCCCAGGCCCAGGCGGCTCCTCTGCTCTGCTCGCATGGCCCTGCGTGCCAGTTCTGCACACATCACTCTGGATTTTCCTGTCGTCTGGCCTATGCGGGTCCCTTGGATCAGGAGTTCCATGAGACTTGGGGGTTAGCCTCTCTGTTGCCACCTCTCTGGGCCTCACACAGGGCAGGCACCGGTAGCGTCCAGTTGAATAGAACAGAAGATTAGTGGTTAGAAGCCAGGGTGAGCTCTAGGAAACAGCAAATAAGGAGATGATCCAGCCACTCTGTAGGCTCCTCTGAGGCTGGTCGGAGCCTTAACTATGAGGGCAACACCCCAGCAGGAAGAAAAGCAGGCAGGCCGGCATCGGGGGAAATGCCAGGCCTGGGTGTCAGACAGGTGTAGGTTAGAATCTGCACTCTCTTACTGACCCGCTGTGTGACCCTGGACGATGTCTGACCTCTCTGAGCCACTGCTTCTCCGTCTGTGACATGGGGATTCGGAGATCATAAGGATTCAACAGAAGAGTGGGTGTGAATGCTGGCACCTTCACCGTGCATGTGCTCTGGCCTCCTTGCTCCCAGGAGTGACCTGTTGAACGTGGGCGACTATATTCGGTCAGTGAACGGGATCCACCTGACCAGGCTCCGCCATGATGAGATCATCACCCTGCTCAAGAATGTGGGCGAGCGCGTGGTGCTGGAGGTGGAGTATGAGCTGCCCCCGCCCGGTGGGTGCCCTTGGACAGGGAACTTTCTCCACTGCCTTAGTCATGGGTAGACACAGCTGCCTCCCTGCCAGCACCTGGGTGGTGGGGACCAGCTGGGTGGGTGGGACCTGAAGACCGGCCTATGTCACACCTAGGGACTTCGGCTGCAACTGTAGTGTGGTGTCACCAGGAGGTGGCAGGGCCCTGTTTATAACCCGTTGTCGTTTTTTACATGTAGCGTCCAGATTTCTTCCTCATGGCGGGGGGCGGGGGGATGGTTTGGGGAATGGGGGCTGAAACAGTTATTCCCAGCCCTACTGGTGTCTTCACCCCGCCAGCTTGCACAGAGTACAGTGGGCAAGGGTTTAGCCTAGCTCTGAATTTTCAAAGCTGGTCTAAAGTCTTAAGATTTGAATGACTGGAATTCAACCCTGGCCTGAGCCCATAGCCATGGACTCACGTCTGAGTTCTGTCGTGGTCTCTGTGTGAGCCTGGGCAGGCCTCTCTCTAAGTGGGTGTTAAGGTGAAGGGTCCCTTGAAGTCTTGCTTGTCCTACCTGTAAACTGGGGTGGGGGGAAGTTTACCCTCCCTGTAATCTCTGTCTGGTCACCCAATTCTCCCAGAATGAGCTTTGGGGATGTCTGTGGCTTGGTGATGTGACTGAGGTACTCAAAGGAGCCCTCTATTTCTCCCCAGCCCCTGAGAACAGCCCAGGGATTGTCACAAAGACAGTGGACGTCTCCCTGTACAAGGAGGGCAATAGCTTTGGCTTTGTCCTCAGAGGTCAGTGTAAGAGTCATACTTGGGGCCAAGAGGTGGGAAGGAGGCTACTGATAATTCCATGTGTGAACACATGCTTTGCTTTAATGAGGTTGTAGGGATAGGTATATGGATAGATAGGATCGCTTCTTGCTTCTGACTCTAAAGAACCCAGGGCCATTAAGTCAAATGTTAAATGGAAACATTTGCCAAGCAATGAAGGGTGCGTGATTGCTGGGAGTGAGATTGAGAACAAAGTTTGGAGCTGCCTAGCAACCAGGGCAAAAAGGGAAGTAGGATGAGATCATAGGAAGGGAAGCAAGCCATTTAAGAAAGGATTTCGGTCACGTTCCCTACTTTTTGTTCCAGCTCTGGGGATTTACGGTTGGTATCTTACAAGAGGGCCCGTGAATAGAAGGGACAGGTCCTAAAACAGATTTAGTTAAGGGAGCCTGTTTAGGGGCTGAGTCGGGGCCTCTAGGCATCAGGGAAAGAGTGGGTAGATGACTGATTCCTCTTGTTGAGTTCTGTCCAGGGGGTGCCCATGAAGACGTACATAAGACCCGCCCGCTCGTCCTGACCTGTGTCCGGCCTGGCGGCCCTGCAGACAGGTGAGCCTGAACCAGAAGAAACCATACAGCCTTTCCCTGCCCTGACTGCCCCCAGCTCCTCTGTGAAGAAGGCAGACCAGAAACCACTGTTCTCTAGATGAGCAAACTGAGGCCCAAAGAGAGGACACACCTTGTTCAGAGTCACTTGGACTTGTTGGTGGAGCAGGACTCAATGCCAAACGGGAGAGACCCCAAGATCTTTCCTCCCCAACAACCTACTGTCTCAGGGGTGGGGAGGGGAGCAAGCCTTGGCATTCTGTTGTTCTTCCCTTCCCTGGCTTTCGTTTTCCCCATCTGTGGCATGGGGCAGATACTACGGCCCCTAGGAGTTGCTGTGAGAGATTCGGGGGCCCTGTTAGCAGTGCCGCTATGGCCTCTATAACGCAGCCTCTGGAGTCCTGGCTGTGCCACCCTGCCTGGCTCTGCCTGGGCATAGCCCAGAAGGACCAGGCAGGCAGGGCCAGGAGACGAGAATGTGGGAGACAAACGTGTCCGGTTCCCAGCACCTGACCCCTGACCTCCCCAGTGGGAGAGTCTTGGCCATTTTAAGAGAAGCCTGGAACGGCCTTGTCAGAAATCTAAACCCTTTCTTGGGACAGAGGCTGTGATGAGCTATTCATAGAACCTCCCAGAATAGCTTTGGCCATCTGTTGGGGCAAGCACTCCAGGGTGGAGATTTGACCCAAACCGAGGTGAACCCCCACTCAGGCCCCTCTCCTGGGGCCCCTGCTGAATTTGTTCCCAGGTGCACTTGTCACCAGGCCAGAATCACTGCTGAGGAGGCAGAGTGGGGGCAGTGAGAGTGGACCTCATGATGGGCAGCATGAAGCCTCCAGACTGCCCCGCCCCTGATGCTGTGTGGCCCTGACAGGGCTGGTGTCCTTTCTGGGCACTGGCATTCTCTTGTATCCCTGGGCGTCCCCACTCAGACGTTCCAGGGTTGAGCTGGGGCTATGAATTTATTAAGCACCGAGAAAGGGGGGAGCTGTCAGAGCTGGTCGCTGGTCCCAGCTATCCTTACCTGCCCGCTTCATTTATTCAGCCGCTTACCCATGGACTCCCTCCTACGTTCCCTCACTCATCATTCCGTCCCTTTCTCCTTCACCCACTGCCTGCCCCTCTCTGTCCCCCGTGCCCCAACCTTTCCCAGCACCCTCTCGGGAGGGCTGTGCACAGTGCTCATTGAGGCCGGGCTGGCTGACCAGGCCCTTCCCTGCAGGGAAGGTTCCTTGAAGGTGGGCGACAGGCTGCTCAGCGTTGATGGGATCCCGCTGCACGGGGCCAGCCACGCCACTGCCATGGCCACGCTGCAACAGTGCAGCCACGAGGCGCTCTTCCAGGTGGAGTATGATGTGGCCATCCCAGGTGAGTTGGGGGTCTGAGGACTAGGGTTGGGGCAGAAAGAGGCCCAGGGCTTGGGGCAAGGGGTAGCAGACCCAAATCCTCACCACTGCAAAGGCTCTGTGACCTTGGACCAGCACCTAGCCTCTCTGAGCCTCTCTGGGCAATAAACATTATGTGTCAGGCATTGTTTGAGGCACTGCAGATCCAGGTGAGAGCAATACAGACGAGGCCTCTGTTCTCAGGGAGCTCACCTTCTGGTGGGGAGAGGTGGACAGTAAACAGAATAAATCAAATATGGAAGGCGTCAGATAGCAATAAGTGGCATTCTAAAAATAAAGAAAACATCAGGGAGAGATGGGAAAGGCTAGGGGAGAGAAAGGTGATGGTGGCTGGACCAGGCTGGTTGCCTGGGAAGCATAGATAGGTTGCATTCAGGAAATATGATGAAAGTCGATTTGGTCTGATTTGCTGATGTTTGGACACAGTGGCGGGGATTGGGCAGGGGCGTCGAGAGCACAAGGAGCTAGGTTTCGTATTTAAACCACTGGGTGGGTTAATGGGGGTGCCGTTTTCTGAGATGGGAAAAGGTTGTAGACAAATGGCAGGCTCTCCATAAGTGGGAGCACCTTAGTGTTGTCTAGCAGAGCCGTGGGGTCAGAGCCCCTCAGAGCTGAGTTCCTGACCCTCCTCTGCTGCTGAGTGTTTGTGTGAACTTGGACAAGGCCTTTACCTCCATACGTCTCGTTTACCCGTCTGTAAAATGGGTACAGTAATCCCTCCCTGGCAGTGGGGATTAAATTGAGATAGCCGACTGAGGCTGGGGAGGCAAGCGTTCAATATTTGCATTTCGAACTCTTGTCTCCTTCCACGTGCCAGACACAGTGGCCAATGCTTCGGGGCCCTTGATAGTGGAGATAACCAAGACGCCTGGGTCTGCCCTGGGGATCTCACTCACCACCGGCTCCCACCGGAACAAGTCAGTCATCACTATCGACCGCATCAAGCCGGCCAGTGTGGTGGACAGGTGAGGCACACTGGGTGCTGCCCCCGTAGTGGCCAGGGATGGACGGGGGAGAGGCCACCTTGAGCTCTCTCTGGCCAGACCAGCCTCCCCTTTCATTCTCCCGCCCGGCCAGGAGTGGGGCCCTACATGCTGGAGACCACATCCTGTCCATCGATGGCACCAGCACAGCACACTGCTCGCTTCTGGAGGCCACCAAGCTCCTGGCCAACGTGTCAGAGAAAGTGCGGCTAGAGATCCTGCCAGCACCCCAAAGTCGGCGGCCCCTGAAACCGTCAGAGGCAGGTGGGTCCCCTTGGAGGGTCTCAGCCCCCAAACCTGAGGGCAGATGGGGAGGATTGCACAGGGTCCCAGAGGCCTAGGACTGTAGCCCTGGGCAGGCTAAAATTTACTGGAACAAATGTCCGCTCCCATGGGGAAGCTCAGACTGTCAAGTGCAGCAGCCGAGGCTGGGCCGGTGGGGCAGAGAAACAACCTGAATGTTTGAGTGTTGACAGTCTGCTGGGGTGGGTGTCCCAAGGCTGTTTCCGTCACTCTTTGTATTAATAGAAATACAACGGCTAGACCAAGGTTGGGGACAGTCTTTCTGTGCTCTGTGCTACTCAGAGCTTAGATCTGGGGCTCAGCTTACTGTCCTCAGCAGGACCAGAGGGGGTAGCCAGTCAGTCAGGAGGACCGAGAGCCCCGCCTTTTGAGGAGTTGGGGGCTCCCAGACCAGAGCAGAGAGCTGGGTGCGAGGCAGTCCAAGAGCAGAGGAAGCAGGTGGTCTAAGAGACCAGAGGGCAGAGCTGAACTTGGGGCAGGGAAGTGCCTCTAGCATTCCAGACCTTGGGCTTTGGGTTCAAATGCCAGCACTGCCCCAGCTGAACAGCCTCTGCATCTCTCAGCCTCCATCGCCTCGTCCGTAAATGGGAGTGAGGACCCCACATGCACAGGCTTGGGAGAAGTTAACCAAGGTAGAGGATAGAGCACAGCCCAGGGGTGTGAATCCCAGCCTGGCACACCCGATTGATCATCTGGAAGAGAAAGAAACCCCTCAAATAAAATGCGGGGAGACAGGTGTTGGGGAGGGTCCATCTGTGTGGTCTCTGCCAGGGTCTGAAAAGGCCCCATCAAGCCACAGCCAGGGCCTGACACGGAAGGCTTTGGGGCTTGAGCTGGAGTCACATATGGAGCACCTGCTGTGGGCTGGGGCTTCCCATGGGTCGCCTCCTTTCATCCTAGGAACGAGTCTGTGAGGTCAGTATTGCTGTTATTCCACTTTCCAGAGGAGGTTGACGCAGCTGAGGCTCAGAGAGGCACCCCTGAAGTGCCTCATGAGGGCACACGGCTGCCAACAGCCCTCCTGGCCCTTGTGGGCCTCCGCTAGGTGCCAGGCACTGCTCTAAGCATGTCCTATGTGGTAGCTCGTTCACATCCTCCCCGTTATCCTGGGAGGCAGCCACTATCTTAGCCCCATTATACAGATAATGGCAGTGAGGCACAGAGGGGCCAAGTGGCCTGTCTCAAGGACCTGGCAGCTGGCTCCTGAGTTGGCTTGTGTGCCGTGCCCTCCCTGTGTGGGATGGAGGTGCTGCACAGGGGGTGGAGTCACTGGGCTGAGATAGCTGGGTTCTCACTCATCCGTCCATGGACACGTTGCACCAGGCTGGCCTCCCCCCCCCCCGAAAGCCCCACAGCAGAAGGAAGAGCCAAGGTGGGACCTGGGGCAGTCTGGGAGGAGGCGTTGCATGGCAGCCGGTTTAGAAGATCTGGTGGGGCAGGTGGGGGAGGCAGGATCGCTGGAGTCCCGTGGGAAGCAGATGGAGGAGACTGCAAAGAATTCATCTGGGGGTAAAGCCTGTGGAAGTTTGGAGGGCAGGGGGCGGGAAGCCAGAGCAGCTTCAGACTGCAGTGCGGGGGTGAGCAGACCTCTGCCAACTCCTCGGCCCTGGAGCATAGGTTGCCTCGAGAGCCCAGCATGGGGCAGAAACAGCCAGGCCCTAGTGCCCCCATGTGCTCAGCCCCTGGCCAGGGCTGCCCAGGCCACAGCACCGCAGTAGATCCTAAAGGCGCAGGGGCCCAGTGGGGTCTGCCAGCCGCGCTGCCCAAAGCTGATGGGCCAGTTCTCAGGCTGGGCCTGCTTTCCCTCCCATCCTTGCTGCCGCCCGGCTGAGAGCTGAGCACAGTGCCTGGCACGTAGTGGGGGGGTTCAGGACACATGCAGTGCCTGGCACGTAGTGGGGGGGTTCAGGACACATGAGCGGCATCCGAATGAATGCCTGGCTTGGCTCTGGGGAAACTCGGGCTGTCTGGTCCTGCTCTTCTCACTTCATCCTGCAGATGGGAGCCTGCCCTCCAGGGGGGCGTGGTGAGTCCAGACTCGCTCAGTCCCTAACACCTGCACCTCTGTCTCCTCTTCCTTGGGTCACAGTGAAGGTGCAGAGGAGCGAACAGCCACATCGCTGGGACCCCTGCGTGCTCTCCTGCCACAGCCCGCGGCCCGGCCACTGCAGGACGCCCACCTGGGCCACACCTGCCGGCCAGGACCAGAGCCGATGTAATGTGCCCATCTCACCATGGCTTGTGCATGTTTCATAGGGGAGGAAACCAAGACGCAGAGAAGTTAGGGGGTCTGCCCGGTATTACCCAGCACATTAGTGGCGACATGAGCCTGGCAGCTGGGTTTCACCAGGTCTGTGAAAACCCTGCAGTCTTTGAGGCCCAGAGTGGGAGAGACTTACCTGAGGTCACACAGCCAGTGGTTGAGGTGAAAGGGGGAGTGCGTCCCCGTGTCGCCTTGTGCTGGGGTGGCTGCCTAGCACCCACTGTGTGGCAAGGTGGCAGGCCCTTCTGGGATTCACGGGGCTGTGCTCTCATCTCCTCAGCCTTGTCCTCGACTCCCTTTTCCTCGCCGACCATGAATCATGCCTTTCCCTGCACCAACCCCAGCACCCTTCCCCGTGGATCCCACCCTATGAGCCCCCGGACCACAATGGGGCGGAGGAGGCAGCGAAGAAGGGAGCACAAGAGCTCATGTAAGTAAACCATGGGCTCTTCCCTCCGCTTTGAGCTACATGTGTGCCTGATCCTGAGAGATTTGCCGAAGAATGGGTGCATTTGGGGCAGGGCCCCAGTTCTATGTTTGTGGGGTCATTAAATAGCATGAGTGGTATGCCAGACTGCCTTGGATGGTTGGGTAGGTTGTGCAGTGTACAAGGATGCACCTGATGAGTTCCAGTTACTTTGTACATTTATTATGGGAAATTCCCAGCAGGTGATAGACCTCACCATCAAAGAGGCACCTCACCTTAAAGTGCCTTGAGGAGAGGATACCTGAATCTGAAAAGCTTTCCTCTTTCAGATTTGCACAAAGGTCTTGCAGGAACTCCATTTCATTTTCTTTCGTTCTGGATTCGTTCTGATCCATTCAAGGAGAAAGTGTGAGCGTGGTGCAGCTACGTCTTTACCGCTTCTCTGACATTTTTTAATTTCCCCTAAGACAAAGACATGTAGGCCTGAGGCTAGCCATCCAGCATGTGGTAATTTTCACGTTCAGTCTGTATGTATATATACACATATGCGTGTAGACATACACACATATACACACACACGTATAGATTTCTACTTACCTTTTGTTTATAGGCATTTCTATTTGCAATCACTGTATATGTAGTTCCCTTTTGTTTTTTTTTAAAAATTTTTTTTTCAACGTTTATTTATTTTGGGGACAGAGAGAGACAGAGCATGAACGGGGGAGGGGCAGAGAGAGAGGGAGACACAGAATCGGAAACAGGCTCCAGGCTCTGAGCCATCAGCCCAGAGCCCGACGCGGGGCTCGAACCCACGGACCGCGAGATCGTGACCTGGCTGAAGTCGGACGCTTAACCGACTGCGCCACCCAGGCGCCCCGTAGTTCCCTTTTGAAATGAAGGTATAAGTATTTTAAAAAGTGAGTGAATGTAAAGACAAATAGTAGTGAATGATAATGCAGGAGACGTGTGGAACTAGCAAAAGTCACGAGAATGCCAAGAATTTTGAAGTCTTTCCTGGGAAAAGTCCTTCCTTTGTTGACGTAGAGAGTTTATCCAGCCTTCTGCTCTGAGTTGTAGAGGCCTCCAGGAAGGATGAAAGGTTAACTGGGCCATTTGGAATTGAACCAGGTGAGGGAGAAGAGGAATACAAATCTCCTGGAAAGGAGCTAAATACGGTTATGAGCTTCCTGGAAGCCAAGGTGAAAATGGAAACACTTCAGAGTCAGATAAGAGATTAAAATACGTCTTTACCAACCTCCTTTGTCAACCACCAAAGCTGGAGGTGTGTAGGTAAAAAGATTCAGAAATGCTGTTCATAGGCAGGGGCATGTGGAGGCTAAGGGCTCTTGGGACACCTTTACCTGTCCCTTTCCTAAGATGGATGAGTAGTAAAGTATTATTATTATTATTATTATTGATGATAACCATTAGTTAATTAGTTAAACATTTTGAACACCTCCTATATACCAAGCACCATTCTTGTTATTAGGGATGGAACTATGAAAATTATAGCAATACAACATATGCAACAATATAATATATTACACAGATTGTAACATGTAATATAAAGTATAACAAAATAGTAATAAAGGCATAATAGTATAATAGAATTCATAATAGAATTAAATATAATAAATTATATTTAATACATAATACCTATTAATAATACAGATATTTTTATATCTGGAATATAAAACAATATATATTAAGTAACATAATGTATCAAACAGATATAAAATTTTCATATGACCCAGCAGTTCCACATTGATATATGCCCAAGAGAAATGAAAATATATGTCATGTCTACCCAAAAACTTATACATGAATACTCGTAGCAACATTATTCATTTTAGCCAAAAGGTGGAAACAATCCAGATGTCCATCAAGAGATGAATGGATAAGGGCGCCTGGGTGGGTCAGTTGGTTGAGCGTCCAACTTTTGGTTTTGGCTCAGGTCATGATCCCAGGGTTGTGGGACTTCTCACTGAGCATGGAGCCTGCTTAGGATTCTCTCTCCCTCTCCCTGTGCCCCTGTCCTGCTCTCATGCACGCTCTCTCTCTCAAAAAGAGAGAGAGAGAGAGAGAGAGAGAGATGAATGGTTAAAGAAAATGTGGCGTATTCATACTGTGGGATGTTATTTAGCCTTATAAAGGAGAACCTTGAAAATATTACGCTTAGTGACAGAAGCCAGACATAAAAGACCACATATTATAGGATTGCATTTACAGGGCATGTCTAGAATAGGCAAACCCATAGAGAAGAAAATAGATTAGAGGTTGCTTAGGGCCGAGAGAGATGGAAGGATCTGGAGCACTAGCTAAAAGGAATGGGGTTTCTTTCTGAGATGATGAAAGGATTCTACATTTGATTGTGCTGATGGTTGTACTACGTTGTTAATATACTGTAACACACTAAGTTGTACACTTTAAATTGGTGAATGCTATGTTAGGTGAATTGTATCTCAATAAAGCTGTTACCAAAAATAGCATACTACGTATTATGGTATTATACTAGCATTAGAACAACATTAACCCAACGTAACATCACAATCCTCTGTTTTACAGAGGACTTTACAACATCGCATCACATATCACAATCCTCTGTTTTACAACATGGCAGTCCCAGGAGCTGTCTCCCTTAATCCTTGTCACGGCCCTGCTGGGTGGGAATCCCCCGCTGTGCAGATGAGGAGGCACTGCCCAGAACAGGCTGTGACTCCCTGGGCCACTCACTTGCCTGTCTGACTCCAGGTTCTTGAGCCTAGGAATGGGTTGGTTCTGGCCTGAAGGGCTCTCTGGGACTGCCCACCTGACAGCCATGCTCACCTGTCCTGCAGTGTCACTGGCCTCCAGCACGGTGGGGCCAGGGGGACAGATCGTGCACACGGAGACCACGGAGGTCATACTCTGCGGAGATCCCCTCAGCGGCTTCGGCCTCCAGCTCCAGGGTGGCATCTTTGCCACCGAGACCCTTTCTTCCCCTCCGCTCGTGCGCTTCATCGAGCCCGACAGCCCAGCAGAGAGGTGAGCCAACTTCCCCTGCCCCACTGGGCCTCCACTCTCCAACTCAGGGCTCACAGACAGCCAGGGAAACTGAGTCACATGCCAAGCCTGGCTTCACAAGTGTATCTTGCTCCGCCATCCCATCAACTCCATCATCAGTCCCACTTTACAGATGAGGAAACTGAGGTGCAGAGAAGCTGATGCATTGCCCAGGGTCACGCAGCTTGTGAGTGCTCCAGGACTGGAACCCGTCTGCCTGAAGCCAGAGTCCTCTATATACATATCTCCTAAGGCACGCATCACCCCCCTTGGGCAGACAGAGAAGCTGAGGCCCAGCAAGTTCACTCCCTTAGCCAGAGTCACGTGCTGAATGGCCTGAGGATGTACAGCTGGTATAGGGCCGAGCTGGGAGTCATACCCCGAGCCTGCCCCTGCATGGCATTCCTGTCCCCCAGGGATAGCCGTGCTGGTAACGGAACTTCTTCTCTCCGTGGGGCTGCCCGGGATTCAGGTGTGGGCTGCTGCAGGTGGGAGACCGGGTCCTGTCCATCAATGGTATTGCCACCGAGGACGGGACGATGGAGGAAGCTAACCAGCTGCTGCGGGACGCGGCGCTGGCCCACAGGGTCGCACTGGAGGTCGAGTTTGATGTGGCAGGTGAGTGAGTGTCCCTACCTCCCCCCTCGCCCTTGGGGACCCTGTGCTCCCTCCTGTCCTGTGCTCTCGCCCGCTGCACGTGCTCCTCCACCCGCACCCCACCCCCCCCCCCCCCCCCCCCCCTTGCAGCGACCCTTCTGCCTGAGCGTTTGCAGCGTGTGCCTGAGCACCAGCACCAGGAAGGCACTGGCCGGGGAGGCAGGAATTCTGCACACCAGTGGGAACGTTGATGAGGGAGTTTTGTGCCGAAACAGGACCGAGGGAGGGCAGAGGGGGGCTGAAAACATTCCCTGCCCCTCTGCAGGGCTTAGGCAAAGAACCCCACACAAAAACTCAGTTAGACGTTCTGGTCTTGTGATTTCGACATTCTGTGACTTTGGACACTCCCTCCCACCACCCATCCTCAGCTTCCCCAACTTGAACTGGTGAATAGAGTCCTACTACAATGGATATTGTTGGGTTAGATGAGATAAATCGTGCGGAAACACCCAGCTAAGGCCCGGCACGTAGTAGGTGCTTGGTAGATTGTTACTGGGTCTGAACTGGGTTCAGCCTGGGCGTCAGCCCCAAATCTGCTCTGACCAGATGGGTTGTCTTGGGCAAATGCCAGCTCACCATGCCTCAGTTCCCTCATCTGTCAGGTGGAAGACGCAGGATGGGGTTGGGACGGTGACTTTTTGCAGTCTCTCCCAGCTGGCCTACTGGGACTCCCTGAGTCTTCTCCCTCAGGCCTCACATGAGTCCACGTGTGTTTGCCTGCAGAGTCCGTCATCCCGAGCAGCGGTACCTTCCACGTGAAGCTGCCCAAGAGGCGTGGGGTGGAGCTGGGCATCACCATTGGCTGTGAGTCCCTCCCCGCCATGCAGTCCCCACGCCGAGTGAGCCTCCTGCTGGGGGAAAGCACACACCTCCAGCCTAGAAGAGGGGGGTGCTCCAGGTGGGAGGGCTGGCTTGGGTTCCCTCTGCCTGCAATGCTCAGCTCTGTGTCCTTGGGCGACACCCTAGCCACTGGGAGCGTCAGTTTCCCATTCTGCACAATGGGAGTTTCCTGGCCATGTGGCTCTCCCAGTGGGATTAAGTGGCTTGTAAGGCACCAAACACATGGGCCAGATTGGTTTTTTATTTGTTTTTTTTTTTGTTGTTGTTGTTTTTCACCTTCACGTTCCCAGTAGTGGGAGGATGAAAACAGAAGAGTAGAATGCACAAGCATAGGGACCTTCAGAACCCTCCCATGGCTTCATCCTACTCTGAGTAAAAGCTGAAGTCCTCGCGGCTGATGAGGCCTTTGTGATCTGGTCCTAGTGATCTCTGACTTCATCTCCCGCCATCCCTCCATCATGCCCCACCAGCCACTGCTGGCCTCCTGGTTGATCCTTGAACACACTGCTCCTTCCAGCCTCAGGGCCTTTGCACTGGCCGTTCCCTCTGCCCTCTTCCCCACCATTTGCTCAAATGGCACCTTTGGAAGTCCTTTCCTACCACCCCGATTTACACTTGCCCTACCCTCCACGTGGCCCCTTCCATACTTTCTTTTTCTCCACAGCATGCTTTATCAGTTGACAAACTATGTACAGTTGGCCCTTGAACAACATGGGTTTGAACTGTGCAGGTCCACTTAAACGTGGATTTTTTCTGATAAATACAGTACGTCCTGTAAATGTATTTTCTCTTCCTTACGATTTTTTTTTTAATTTTTTTTTAACGTTTATTTATTTTTGAGACAGAGAGAGCCAGAGCATGAATGGGGGAGGGTCAGAGAGAGAGGGAGACACAGAATCCGAAACAGGCTCCAGGCTCTGAGCTGTCAGCACAGAGCCTGATGCGGGGCTCGAACTCCCGGACCGCAAGATCATGACCTGAGCCAAAGCCAGCTGCTTAACCGACTGAGCTACCCAAGCGCCCCCTTTCCTTACGATTTTCTTAACATTTTCCTTTTTCTAGCATACTTTATTTTAGGAACACAGTATGTGATACATATAACATACAAAGTACATGTTAATCAATTGTGTTATTTGTAAGGTGTCCATTCGACCATAGGCTATTAGTAGTTAAGTTTTGGGGGAGTCAAAAGTTAATATTCAACTGCATGGGGAGACAGCACCCCTAACCCCCACATAGTTCAAAGGCCAGCTGTACTTTAAAATGTTGTTGATTATCTGTGTCCCCCACCGGACTGGTAGCCCCAGGAGGGTGGGGATCTTTGTTTTGTTCACTCTCCTTCTCCCTTGCACATACATAGTAGAGATTCTAACTGTGCCCTGGGGATCCTGAAGGGAAAAACGTTGGGATAAGGGGTGGAGACACCCCCCGGCTGGCTGTAGCATTGCCACCCCCACCGCCCTGCTGAGGTGACCTCCTGGCTAGTGTCCACTCTGGCCAGGGCAGCACACACACTGGTAGGCTGACCCCAGGTCAGGCAACAGATGCTTGGACCTCATTCCCCAGGGAGATTCAGGGAGCCCCAGAGAACAGAAGACCAGGATTGCAGTCCTTGTGTGAAATGATCCTCAGTCCCCACCCTGGGCTTGACAGAGGGTGACTGCAGCTCCTTCCTTCCCCAGACTCCAGTCAATGGAGGTGGAAGTTTAAGCACTCTGGGAGGGGAGAAGCTGCTTCCAGCCCAGGAACCTCTGGGTAGGGCTGCCAGATACAGTTGCACAAGTTGCACATGACACAAAGATGCCCATTTGAGGTAGACTTACAATTTTATTACATCAGTTGGAAGAGGTGCCCTTGTCTCATCTGCAAAGATGCCACATGGGCTAGAAGAGGCTCCCACCATCTGGTCACTAATGGGAAAATCCATTCGCCCAGATGGATTCTTTCTGCAAGAAAACTTAGCTATTCATGCAACACCCATTGTCTTAGGTCACGTTTCCCCAGAAAGAGCTTCTTAGACAGAGTTATGTTCCGGGGGTTTGCTGAGAAGGGCTCTTGGAATCACCACCTGTGCGAGGTGAAGGATGTGGGGCTGGGCAGATGGAGGAGCTGGGTTGTGATGCGACCACAGCAGGTGGCTCAGCCAATCCCACGGAGAGCCCAAGGGCCAGGAAGGCTTTGGAAGTTGTCCTGAATGAGGCTGGGAGCCAGGCCTTTGCACCTCTGTTGGACCAGGCTGTACCCAGGAGCTGCATAACCTTGGGTGAGGCTGTTCTCTTAGTCAGAGGCCGTTTCCAGAGAGGGAGCCCCCTGCGGGCCATTCAGCTAGCACTCCCTGCAGATGGGAGAAGGGAAAACTCAATTGTGGAAGGGTCACCCAGTTCCTGGGTCGTGGCCCTGTGCCAGGTGGGAGTCCCTGACACAGACCCTGAAGGAGTTCGCAGTTTGCTGGGGGATGGGCTGAGCAGAAGGGAAAAGCGCTGATGTGGACTGAGCACCTGTTATGTGCCGGGATCCACGTTGGGTTTTGCTTTGTCTAGTTTGATCTCATGACATCTCCATGAGTTCTGTGGCATCCCCCCCATTTTACAGAGGGGAAACTGAGGCAGAAAGGGGGCTGATTTGCTCACAGTCACCCAGACAGGAAGCAGTGAGAGCAGGACGTGCTCTAACTCCTGACCCCTCCAAACTCCCTGAGGCTGAGGTGGTCAAAGGTCAGATTCATGCTTCTCCCCCCTCCACCCCCAGCGACCAGCAGGAAGCGAGGAGAGCCCCTCATCATCTCTGACATCAAGAAGGGCAGCGTGGCACACAGGTAGGGCTGGCCCTGGGCACAGGGCAGGGGGAGTAATCCAGGGGGAGTAGCGTGTGCCAGCCTCTTTCTGTCCCCCACCCCTGCTCATGCAGGACCGGCACCCTTGAGCCAGGTGACAAGCTTCTGGCCATCGACAATATCCGCCTGGACAACTGCCCCATGGAGGACGCTGTGCAAATCCTGCGGCAGTGCGAGGACCTGGTGAAGCTGAAGATCCGGAAGGACGAGGACAACTCCGGTATGGCCCCTGCCCGGCCCTGCGCCTCTCGGTCCACCCCCGGATGATGGGTTCCCAGCTTGCAATTTGGGGTTCCCTCTGGCCAAGGAGGGAGGGAGGCAGGCTGCTGTTGCAGGCTCCTTGAATGAACAGATGCAGGGAGGAGCCCCAGCACAGATGTCTCACCATCCCTGGGGCTGCCTGGATCCTCTGCGCCCAGCACAAAGCCTAGCAGAGGGGACCCCCAGGGGGCAGCAGCGAGCAGATGAGTGGGCGGGGCAGGGATGCCTCAATGACCGCACCCTGCATGGGCAGTGTGTGAGTGAAGAAGTAAAAGCTGTGACACCTCTGAGGCCAGATGGGTGACAGAAGTGAGTGAACTGGACAGAAGGTAAGAAAAATGTATACAGGTTGGGGAGGCAGTAGGGAGGGGTGAGGCTTGTGGTCCCTGGAGAGCCAATCCCTTATTCAGAGAGGCAACTCCTACCCTGGGAAGGATGCTATCTTGTGGGCAAAACTTCTTCTGAGTTTTCTTTTTTAAAGAAAGCTGGAAATCTGGTTTCTCTTCTCATTATTGTTATTTTGTGTCATGCATGAAATCTATATTTTAGAGTGTTGGGTTCATGGTGTTTGGGTGCCAGAAAACATTTCTCGAGGGCAGAACATTTCTGAAGATGGCATCAGGGTCCCCGGGTTGTGCCATCCAAAGTCATGGCAGGAGTGAGTGGGTGAACTAACAAATGAGTGAGTGCGAGTGGGAGTGAGTAAGGACACCAAGGTGTTGGGGGCTGGGGGCGTCCATCTCCTGGGTCCTGCCCCACTGCACCCCTCCCTGATAGGTGCCACCTTTGCAGATGAACAGGAGACCACGGGTGCCATTAGCTACACAGTGGAACTGAAACGTTACGGGGGTCCCCTGGGTATCACCATTTCGGGCACAGAGGAGCCTTTTGACCCCATTGTCATCTCAGGCCTCACCAAGCGTGGTCTGGCTGAGAGGTGAGCCAGGGTTCTGGGGGGGGGGGATGCATGGGGTGGGCCCAGGGACCCTCATGGGGCAGGGGTTGTGCTTTGAGAACAGCTGAAGTGGATTCTGACCTTGGTTCCAACGTTGACATTCTGGGTGACATCAGGACTGTCCCTTCCCTCTCTGAGCCTCAGTTCCACAGAGGTAGACCAGCCCCTCCCTGGCTGACCTCTCCAGCTTCAGTAGGTGCCAGATAAATGTATGCCAACTCTCCTCTCTCTCCCAACGTGGAGATTCCTGGAGATTTCTGGAAAGTCAGCATTATGAGCCTTTTTGGAGCACCTGCTGTGTGCCTTCAATCCTGGCACAGCATGGGGCTTTTCTGCAGGCATTATGGGCCCCCCTGCTGTCCTCTCCCCTGGGGAAGGTGTGAGAAAGAGGGTGCCCCAGGCTGGCCAGACTGGGGGGAGCAGGTGAATCTGGGGCCCAGAGGTAGAACAGGGCCCCATGGGGGTCACAGGGGGTGGTCCCAGTCTGGGCGAGATGCAGCTTTCTCCAGCCACTGAGAGGAACTGGCTGTAAAGGGAGAGACTGGGCAGGTCTGGAGGGGGCAGGCTGGGCCCCTGGGGGAGGACACAAAGCAGGAAGGGCCACGTGGTGACGGGGTGCCGCAGTGGGACAGAGGGGGCTGAGGAGTGTGGTTCCTGGCTCCCTGTTGGTGTCCTTGCTCCCGGAGCGCCCCCTGCTGGCCCACTCCAGGGGCCAGTGTGGATGGTTCCCACCTCAAGTATGTTCATCTACTCCCACGCTTACTGGGTACCTACTATGTGGCGGCTCATTCTGGACGCTGGGAGCACAACAGACAGCCCCCCGTGCCCTCACCGGGCTGATCTAGCTTAGTGCTGTCTAGCTGCAGTGTAATGCGAGCCACACATTTAATTATCAACTTCCCGGTAGCCATATTAGAAAAATAAAGAGAAATAAAACGAATCTTACGTATGTATTTATTTCAACACGTAATCAATATACAAATGATTAATGAGATAGTTTACGCTATTTTTTTAATTGTGTCTTCAGAATCTGGTGTGTAGTTTGCCTAAGTCAAGGCGTCTCAGTTTGTGGCAGCCATGCTATGGGGCCCTGCGAACTGGACAGACCTCCCTCCCTCACTCAGCCCGCCACCCCCCTGACTTACTCAGTTCCCTGGACTCCTGGGGAGCTTGGTGGGCGGTGCCCACCTGCAGCTGCTCTCCCTGCTCTCAGTGCTGGCTGTTCCTCAGGATCCCCTTCCCCAGCCCGATTCCCAGGGATACCATTTAATTGGCCAGGCGTGGGGGCCAGGCATGTGCATGTTTAGAAAAGCTCCTCAGGTAATTCTAGTGGTGTCTGGGCAGAAACCCACTGGACCGGATCGATGCTGCTGCCTGGCCTTGCCAGCCCCTTGCATCCCCTTGTGAGGTCGCCTGGGCACCCTGTGCTCATTCTCTGGGTGAGGAAGCTGAGGCCCAGGGAAAGGGAAAGGCTGTCCATGGAGAGAAGCATGAATCCCTTCCACCCATCCATCTTTCAGGTAGAATTAGGTAAAGTAAGTTTATCACTCTCATTTACGGGCTCCAGATCACGTGGTAGTTGACAGCTGTTCTGCGCGATTCAGACCGTGCTCAGAACTCATGCTTCACCCTGCTTCCAGAACCTGCCTTTACAGTCAGGCAGGATAATCCCTCCCCTCCCAAATTCTAGACTTTGTACCTCTGTTCATACCACCAGAGATCACACTTGCCTTCTGTTGCAGCTGGGTTTGATTGAGGTCCGTTGGGCTTGTGCCTTGGGGTTCCTGAGTTCTCTGAGGGCAGACCCCCACCCTGAAGCCTCGACCGTGTCTCGTTCTCTGTCCTGTGCCCCCTCCCCAGGACTGGCGCTATCCACGTTGGGGATCGCATCCTGGCCATCAACAGCGTCAGCCTCAAGGGCCGGCCTCTGAGTGAGGCCATCCACCTCCTGCAGGTGGCTGGTGAGACTGTCACACTGAAGATCAAGAAGCAGCTAGACCGTGAGCCTCACCCCAACACCTGGGGGCCCTCAGCCCATGTGGGAACCCCTCTGTGCCCAGCCTCGTGGAATCCCCACCAAACCCCACAGAGGCAGGAAGGCACCTGGGACAGCTGAGGAGACGAGACCCAGAAGGGTCACAGCTTGTATGGGGCAGAGTCTGGGCCTGAACCACCCACTGTCTTCATCGCCTCCTGCCTCTCACAGCTGCTCGTTATGCCTTCGGGCTGTACCTGTCCTTTCCTCAGTTTCCCCCGATTTGTACCCTGTACCTTGGCAAGCGAGGCCACCGCCCACCGTGGAAGGAGCCTTCAGGGTCTTCCTTCTGACCCGGGCCCCACTGTTGCTCACCCTGTGACCTTGGGCATATTGTGCACACACAACACCACGGGGGCTCCCCGAGGCCAGCTCAGAGAACTCAGCCTCCGTTTTCCTGTCTGTGAAATGGGTTTGCCCATTGGTGCACCACCTCCCTCATATCAGGGGGCCCAGCAGCAGGCTCGGGGGGAGTGCTCAGTGCCTGTGAGTTCCCAAACCAGACTGAAGTGGGGAAACTGAGGCTCACTGAGCATCTCTGTCTCTGAGGTCAGAGGCCAGTGGCAGTGACACCCCCTTTCCATCCCAGGCCCCCTCCCACACCGCAAGTCAGGCAGCCTCAGCGAGGCCAGCGATGCAGATGAGGACCCTCCAGAGGCACTCAAAGGGGGCTTGCTGGCAGCTCGGTTCTCCCCTGCCGTGCCCAGCGTGGACAGCGCCGTGGAGTCCTGGGACAGCTCGGCCACAGAGGGGGGGTTTGGGGGCCCAGGTAACACTTCATCGCCTATAAGCAACATGGTCTCTCTGGGCCACCCCAGCTGCCAGGCCTTTGTAGGGGCTGCTCCTTCTGCCTAATCCTTCCTCCTCCCCTCCCAGCTCCTTCCTTCAGGGACGCTTCCTGGAGGCAGACCCGCCTGGGCCACATCAGCCATTCCCAGGGCCCCTCACTGCTCAGAGCATGGACCCCAGGCCTTCACACATCTTTTGATTAGCATCCATAGCACCTCAGCTGGCTATTCAGAGTTCCCCACCCTGAGGTTAGGGACCAAGCTGGCCATACTTGTGTCTTTGTCATTCCCAGCCCAGTGCCCTGCACACGGCAGGTGCCCAATCAATGTTTATTGCATCCGTGGAGTCCTGGGCAAAAAACCCCTTCCCACCTCATCCCGCAAGACCCAGCCTTAAAGTGGACACCTCCAGGCCACCCTCTTAGGACACGAGCTCCCCTGCCCATGTGTGTTGAGACCCATAGGTAGCTTTGGAGGTTGGGGGCATTTGACTGCAGCAGCTGGCCTTCTGGCCTCTGCAATACAGAGCCACAGGGGCTCCCCAAGGCCAAACTCAGAGAACTAGTGGAGCGAGGCTTCTAAGTGCCCTCAGGTGGCTCCCAGCCCCTGTCCTCACTGTCTGTATATCTGCCTTCCCTGGGGTCTCAGCTTCCCCATCTCAAGTACTTGATCAGTATCTCTTAGCATACTCCCAGGGCAGGGTCGTCAGAGCTCCCAAAGGCAGGAAGAGAGGAATGGTCAAAATAGTGAAAGTCCTTCCCGTGCAAGGGCAGCTGGGCGAAGCTTGATGGAGGCGGGGCAGGGTCCTGGAGCCCTGGGCATTAACTCTTCTGCTGGGTGATTCAGAGGGTTCTGGGTGGCGGCCGGGCCCTCAGGGGACTCTGGGTAGTCATGCAGGTCCAGACGGGGCAAAGACCTATCCACGGTCACCCAGCACAGCTGGAAAAGGGGCAGAAAGGAGGGTGAGCTATACCCTCTCAGACCACCCCCCTCTCCACCTGCCAGGCTCCTACACTCCACAGGCGGCAGCTCGGAATGTGACCCCCCAGGAGTGGCGGCCCAGCCGGCTGAGAAGCAGCCCCCCACCCACGGAGCCCCGGAGGACAAGCTACACCCCGGCCCCCACAGACGAGAGCTTCCCTGAGGAGGAGGAGGAGGAGGAGGAGGAGGACTGGGAGCCACCAACTAGGTCTGTGGTGGCAACGCCATGAGGGAGGAGGCAGTCACGGTCTCCTGGCTAGGATGGGTGAGGGTCCCTGTGCCACCGTAGGGGGGCAGCGGAGGAGTCTTGTCTGGCTCCCGAGGAGGGTCGCTTCCCAGGAGAGAGGAGGAAACGTCGGTCAGAGCTGCCTCGGCCTGGTTGAGATGGGGATGAGGCTGTGCTGAGCAGAGGGCGCTGCCATGGCAAACGTGTGGAAGGTGTTTGCCTTTCTGAAGTCTGCTAATCTCTCGTTCTCAGAAGAAAGGCAATAGACTCCGAACTTGAACCCGACCCTCCTGACTTAGCCCAGATTCCTTGACGGCCCCCCTACAAGGGCCTTCGGGTCACAGGTGCCAGCCCTGAGCTGTGGACGTGATGGGTTTTGTAGTGTTGGCTTTGAAGGGCACGTTGTCACCCCTGGAGGAGGCCCCTGCGGAGAACAGGCCCTGTGGCTGTTCCTCACTGAGCCCTAGCCACCCCTCCCACATCTGGGCTTTCAATCAGGCACTTCCTTCTGCCTACTCTCTCCTGACCAAGGCCTACTGTGCCTTGAAAACCCAGGTCCTGCCTCCGGGAAGCTTCCCCGACTTTTTCAGGCAGAAGGCATGTGAGCCTCCTCATGGCATTGGCCGCCTTGTGTCCACCTGATGCGTTCCCTGGCTGTGGTCCCTTCTGCTAAGTGCCTGGCACCCAGGAGGCATACCTGCACACTTTGTGAAGGAACCGCCAGCTCCTTAAGAACAGGGGCGACACCTTCTTTACCTCCGTAGCCGTGAGCCCTGTGGATGGAGCCCTGGCTCAAAATATTTGTAGAAATGATTTGAATGGAGAGAATGTCCTTCAGCCTCAGTCTTCTCATCTTTAAAATGGGAAGGGCAGGAGGCAACTATCATGCATCAGCCTCCCTGAGTCTCCCTAGGAGAGAAAAGCTGGAGGGCCTTTATAAGAAAGTGCTTTGCAAATCATACTTTATAAGCGGCCAGGACTTTGTAGGCGGCAGGTGGCTTTGTGAACTATGAAGCGTGCAAGTGTGACTTGGTATATTCTATCGCGCCTCAATTTTAGAGTGATGATGGGCTCCTACACCCTGTGACGGAAGCCGTGGGGTGGCCTGGACCCTTCCCCAGCACAGACACGCCATCTCCATCCATCTGTGTCCTTGCTGGCTCCAGCTCTGTCCCTGTCACTGTGCTATGATGCCATGTGTCTGGGTGGGGCCAGGGGCCGTCCTCTGGGACTACACCATGGATCTCCTCTCTGTCTATCTGTCTGTCTGTCCGTCCGTCTGTCTCTCTTCCCAGGCGTCCTGTGTCACCGCTCTCCACCCCGTCTCATCTGCCCCTGTTCTAACTGGCCACCGACAGTCCTGGTCGCCCCTAACTGCGTCTTCCCCCCCATTCCGTGTCACCAACCACTGCCCTGGGGCCCCAGCACTGCCACCGAGGACGCCCGCCTGCCTGCCCGCCCGCCCGCCCGCCCACCCTCTGGCCCCTTGAGCCCAACGCCGGGCCCTGGGGCCCCGAAGACTCCTCAGGCCCCAGCCCGCCTGCCCGCCCATCTGTCCACCAGGAGTTGACGCTCTCTGGTTCCTACGTTACAGCCCAGCCCCTGGCCCTGCCCGTGAGGAGGGCTTCTGGCGCATGTTCGGGGAAGCCCTCGAAGACCTGGAGTCGTGTGGTCAGTCAGAGCTGCTGAGGGAACTGGAGGTAGGGCCACCCACCCGCAGACCTTCCTGGGGGCACCTGTGCATGGACACACTGACGGGCATGCCGTAGGAGACAAGCGTGTTGATGGGATCCTGCCTGCGTGTCATGTGTGTCATGCACTCTCCCGGCACCCGCCATGTAAAGGTGTCTTCACACATGTGCGGACACATACACAAGTGTGACTGAGAACACTGTGGTGTGGCGGTTCAAGGCGTATGCACATGTGAACCTGTCTGGTATCATGTGTGCATTGGCAGCATGTGTGTGGGCATTTCAGAGCAGGTGTGTCTGAGTGTGCACAGTTGGATATGCACAGGGACAGTTTTGGTGTCTGTGTGTGCATGTGCAGTATGTGGACACGGTTGTGGGCATGCCCTGTGGAAGCACGTGGATGTCAACATCAGTGACAGCACAGGGGATCGGGGTCAGGGGAGCTGAGAAGTGACTACAGCTTTGTGTGAGGTCAACATTGCCCATAACAGAACAGGCTGCGCAGAAGGTCTAGGAAAGATCCAGCTGGGTCATTTCAGAAGCTCCTTCATACTCTGAGAGCGATAATGTAAACCTCTGCTTTACCTGTGCTTTTGGCCCTAATATTGTTGACTAGGGCCTTTTTTTTTTCTCCATCAGCCTTGCTATTTACTATGCTCCTCAGAGAACTAGTTTTTGGCTTTGTTAATTCTGTCTTGTGTTTCATTGTCTCCTATCTTACTCGTTTCTGTGTTTAACTTCTTTGTGTTTCAGTAATGATACTTTTCCTGGTTTCTTAGGTCCTTAATTTTCAGTTTCCCTTGTTTTCTACTGTGGTGCATCTTAAGCTATGATTTTACCCATAAGTACTGCTTTGGCTTCATCCCACAAGTTTTGATTTGTAGTGCTTTAATTGATCATTCAGTTCCAAATATCTAAAAAATGTCTAGTACAATTTTAGTTAGACCCTTAACATATACAGAAGTGGAGAGGTTTCTTTCTAGTATCAATTCTAGTAAATGTTTCGTGTATGCCTGCAAAACAATGTGAATTCCCTTTTTTGGGTGTAGGGTTCTCTGCACATCAAGATTGTTCATAAACTTGTTCAAATCTGCATCCTGATGAAATGTTATATGCTTTATTTATCTTCGTGTGGTTTTTTGTTGTTGTTGTTAGTAGTATGATAAAATCCCATTGTGAGTAGAGATTTGGCAAATTCTTGACATTCTGTCAATTTTTGTCTATGTCAAAATTTGTCTGTCATTAAGCGCATGATGGCTATAACTTCTTGGTGAATTTTTCTTTTTGTTATTAATCAGTATCTCTATCCCTATCTGCTTTCCACTTTAAATTCCATTTTTCCCATAATAATATGGCTCCACCAGCTTTATTTTAGTAATGTTTCCTGTCTTTTTTCTAATTTCTTTATTTTCAAACTTACTGTGTTACTAAGTTGTACATTTCTCATTTTAAGTGTATCTGTTGTATGCTATATATAGCTGATTGTCCCCCCAAGCCAAGGGTCTTCTTTTAAGGCAAGTTTAGTTCATTTATTCTTTTTGTGATTACTAATATAAAGTTATTTCTAGCAAAGAAAGTATCCTACTTTCTCAATACTTCTGATCTACTATCTTAACTTTTCTTGTATTGATAAATCTCCTACTCCTGCACTCTTTCCATCATGAAAAAGGGTATTTTTTATAATTTTTATTCTTTTAGTGATTATCCTTAATTCATTTTACCTTTTTTTTTTTTTAGAGAGAAAGTGTGAGCAGGGGAGATGGGCAGAGGAAGGGGGGAGAGAGAGAGAGAGAGAGAGAGAGAGAGAGAGAGAGAGAGAGACTCTTAAGCAGGTTCCATGCTCAGCATAGATCCTGATGAGGGACTTGATCCCATGACCCTGGGATCATGACAAGATCAAGAGTTGGATGCTCAACCTACTGAGCCACCTAGGTGCCCCTGTTTTACTTTTGATTTATTTTTAATTTTTTTAACGTTTATTGATTTTTGAGAGAGAGAGAGAGAGACAGAGCGTGAGTGGGGGAGGGGCAGAGAGAGAAGAAAGCACAGAATCCAAAGCAGGCTCTAGGCGCTGAGCTGTCAGCACAGAGCCCGATGCGGGGCTCGAACCCACGAACCATGAGATCATGACCTGAGCCAAAGTCGGACACTTAACCGACTGAGCCACCCAGGAATCCCCCTGTTTTACTTTTAATATTGAATTTTTACATTTAATGTTTTTATTATTACAGAAGCCATACATGTGGATGGTGCAAAATTAGATAAACAAAGTAAAATAAAGAATGAAATAAGCAGAGTAAAACATAAGAACAAAACAGTCTCATCACACATAGATTACCACTGTTACTGCTTAAGTGAGTGTATATGTATTTTTAGGATAACAAAACCATGATATACATGCTCTTTTATATGCTTTTTCAGTCAGCTACTCTGTTTTTCCATATATGGAAATAATCTTCTAATATATTTTCATCTCTTCTAATAGCAAGGTCGTAGATTTTCACAGTTGACCCCAAATTTCCCTTTAGGTCTGGTCTGGCTAAACTAGTCCCTAATCCATGCTTGGCACTTGGTTTTTATGCCTTTTCAGTCTCTCTTAATTTTAGTCCAGTGCCTTTTTAACGATGCTGACATAAAATTTTTGTTTATCAAGATACAATTCACATAACATAAGATTTACATAATGTTATGGGGCCCCTGGGTGGCTCAGCTGGTTAAGCGTCCAACTTCAGCTCAGGTCATAATCTGGTGGTTTGTGAGTTTGCACCTGCGTCGGGCTCTGTGCTCACAGCTCAGAGCCTGGAGCCTGTTTCGGATTCTGTGTCTTCCTTTCTCTGCCCCTCCCCTGCTCACTCTCTCTCTCTCTCTCTCTCTCTCTCTCTCTCTCTCAAAAATAAATAAACATTGAAAATTTTAAAAAAAATTTACAAACCGTTCAAATGTAAATTAAATATTAAAAGTAAAAAGAATGAATTAAGGATAATCACTAGTAATTCAAGGGCTTTTATAGTGTATTCACAATGTTGTGCATACATGACCAGAACATTTCTAACATCCCAAAAAGGAGTCCCACATCTCTCAACCGCTGTTCTGGATAGTTCTTATAAACGTAGTCATGCGGTATGTGGCCTTTTTTCATTTAGCTTAATGTTGTAGAACGTATCAATACTTCATGCTTTTTATGGCCACATAATATTCCGTCCCATGGATAGACCATGTTGCTGACTATTTGAAAAGACCAGGCCCGGTGGACTTTGCCTTGAATTTTTTTACCATCTTCACTTTCCTTTTTTGTTTTTTTCTTTTTTTTTTTTTAACAAAGTCTAATCAGTGCCTCTGTCCTCCTCCTGAATGAGACAGGCCCTGCAGAATGCTTCCATTTCCCTCCCAACTCCTCTCCCCACTTGTTTATAAAATTGCTCAAAATTAGTTTTGTGGGATTTTAGTCAATACTCATTTACTGTTACTGGTAATTTCTGTGCTCACCATTGTTTCTCGCATTCCATGTTTTCCGTCTCAGTTCATCCTTTAAGATCTTTTAGTGAGAATCTTGAGGCGGCATAAACTCTTTTAGGTTTTGTGAGTGATTTTATCTTACTTATTTTTACCAATAGCAGGGTAGCAGAGTGGTTAAAACCTTTGATTTTGAAGGCAGACTCTGAGTTCAGATCTTAATTTCTCTTAGCCTCTGCTTCCTCACCTATAAAATAGACCAAAGGCATGGTAGAATGGTGTTTGCTTGTTTCATAGGATTGTAGAGAGCAAAACGAATTCTGTGGGGACAGTCCTTAGACTTGAGCTTGGCACAGAGTAAGTGCCATTCAGTGCCAACAATTTGTATGCTAATTGCTGGTGTGATCGAAGACCTCCCCCACCTCACCCCTGCCCACCCGCAGACTGAGAGCCACAGGAGGCCAAAGACCATGACTATGCTGTTCACTGTTGTGACCTTGAAGGCTGGCACATAGCAGGTGTCCATAGATGCTGACTGCAGACGGCGAGCCAACAAGCATCTGAATGAAGCTCTGTGTGTCCTCAGGCATCCATCATGACGGGCACGGTGCAGAGCGTGGCCCTTGAGGGCAGGCCTGGCCACCGGCCCTGGCAGAGGAGCCAGGAGGTACGAGCGTCCCCTGAAGAGACACAGGAGCTGCTTGTGCCGACACCCTTAGAGATGCACAAGGTGGGCACCGGGGCTGGGCACGGGAAGCCTGGATGGGTGTCCCGGGGCCACGAGGACTCACCAGGGGCTCCCGAGGGGCCCCACCCCTCTCTGGGCTTCATTCTCCACCACCAAACACGATTTGGTATTAGACTGAGTTTTCCAAAATTCTCATCATTTGGGTGATACACACCCCCACCCCCAATGATACACACCAGGCTGCTATTAATACATTTCTTTAAGTAGACTCACTTTTTTTCCCACTTAAGTTAGTGTGTAAGATCTAAAGGCATTTATATAGAATACATGTATATGTAGTTGTATGTGTGTATCTATATATATCACTTCCTTAAAGGAGAAGCCAGCCTCCCTTGCCATCTGTAGGTTACTATATAGAAAAACAGAGAAGAAACCTCTCAGCTGGTAGTCCTCAGAAGGCTCAGAGCCTCTTGGTAAATTGGGAGAGGAGCAAGTGTTAGAAGGGTGACAACCCATTGGTACCCCACGGAGACTTTCTTCTGGGTGGAAGGGAGAGGATTGAAAAAGAACTGAGGAGGTACTCTATCCCTAACTTCCCCTTTGTGACTGGTGCTGGGAACTGGAGGATGTGCTGCCATGCAGAACGCAAGGGGGCGCTGTGGGACAAACGCAGTGAAGTGTGGGGAGCACAGCTAGGCGGCAGGCTAAGTGTGTGTCCCGCACCAAGGGCTGCTGTGGGGGGCGGGGGACAAAGGTCAAAGCTCCAGGGACCTCTTCCTCCTTCCGCTCCCAGGTGACACTGCACAAGGACCCTTTGCGGAATGACTTCGGTTTTAGCGTCTCCGATGGCCTCCTGGAGAAGGGCGTCTATGTCCACACTGTGCGCCCTGATGGGCCAGCCCAACGTGGGGGCCTTCGGCCCTTCGACAGGGTCCTTCAGGTAATGCTGGGCCGGGGGCACCATGGATAGCGTGGCCTTTTCTTGCCTCATGGTGGAGAAAGAGCCCTGTTTCTACCCTGGCTGAAAGGCCTCAGGCAGGTCGCCTCCCCTCTCTGAGCCCCAGCTTTCTCATAGAGCAAAGGGAATGACAGGACCAGTCCTCTAGTCAGGTTAGGTTCAGTTGTGTTGCAGTAACAACCCCGAGTCTCAGTAGCTTAACACACATGAACGTATACCTGTCCACAGTGGGCTGGCATAGGCTTAATCCACCCAGGCTGATGGGGGCTGTACCCTCTTATAAATGCCTTAGATGACGTGACTTAGGAAAAGCGACTGGAACATCACACGTGGGTTTTTTCCTGCCTTTACCCAGAACACCTGCTACTCCCCTTCACAGCCTATTGGCCTTCCGGAACTAGTGATGTGACCTTGCTAACTGCAAGGGAGCCTGGGAAATGTGGGTGAGCAGATCGAAAGCTCTGGGACAGGCCTGGCCCAGCTACCCTGCACCGCCTTTCCCAGGCCCCAGCTACTTTTGTTCCCATGATGTGATTTTTGCTATATCAGTGCTACATTTTTACTAAATATGTTTCCTTTCAGTTCAACTGAAATTTATTTTGAAATGAAGCTTTTTGTGTCAATTAGGAATGAAAACCCAGCACCCCTTTGCTTGACATAAAAGATCAATCTAAAATAAAAATAAAACAGAAACAAAGCAATGTCACAAAATTCTAGGCAGGAAGCTGGGTGTGTGGTCTGCTCTTTTATGTTAAAAAAAAAAAAGGGAGAGAGGTGGGTGTTCGTGGAGTGGGAAGGAGGTACTGGCACCCCTTTGGGGGTTTCTCTTTGATAAAACCTAACCAGAAAGATTGAAAGAGAACTAAATGAAGGAGGACTTCCTCTCTAGGAGTGTTCTAGCTTTACCCTGTACCTGGGCTGGGGCAGGGCCCACGCTTCAGGAAGTCCCACGATTCCCACCTACTTTAGCCCAGGCTCAGCTAATGCCGTTCTGTCCCCTTGGCTGTATACCGTGCAGGTCAACCACGTTCGCACGCGGGACTTCGACTGCTGCCTGGCGGTGCCACTCCTGGCTGAGGCAGGCGATGTCCTGGCACTGGTCATCAGCCGCAACCCACTGGCGCAGAGCAGCCGAGCCCCGCGAGCACCAGGCCCCAGCAGCCCCCGGATGCTCTGAAGTCAGCGTGTGGTCTGGACACCCCAGGGGCTGCCCGAGTAGACCCTGACCCCCAGACCTGTAGCTGGGCTGGAGAAGTGGCCGCTCACTTATCCATCTGTCCGTCTGGCAGGCTCTGAGCCGGGGACCGGACTCTGTGTCTATTCTCCGGTTCTGTGGTGCCTGGAGTCCCAGGCAGTGATGTCCCTGTGCCAGCTGGAGTGACGTCCAGGTCTTTCTCCATGTTGGGGTTCCAAGATGCCCGGAGGAGCCCCACTCAGTAGGGGCTGAGACAGGCTGCTCAGCTCCATGTAGGGAGTGCTTTCTCCCAGCAGAGCTATGGAGCTGCCAGGGAGGAGTGAGCTCCCCATCCCAAGAGGTGAGCAAGTGGGAGCTGGATACCCCCAGTGCAGTCATGGACTGAGGTATGAAGCATCCGGGCAGTGGGTCCACACATGCTCAGGTAGTTAGTTTCCCAACAGGGGGAGAGCATTTAGGGTGTTTCTTGTTTTCTGGACCGCCTCCCACCAAGAAAGATGCCACTCAGGGTGGGAGCCTAGCCCCTTCTCTTCTTCAGCATTCTGGTGTCTGGGTCTCACTGGCATCCCCACTGGAGAGACTCTGAGCTGGGATGGCTGAAGCCCAGGAAGCGTCAGCCCGCCAACTCTGAAAGCGAGTGGTTTTCTTACTTCGGCATCTCTGGTCTGAAGCCTCCGTGATTTGAGACCACAGTGCTGGGCCCTTTGGGCAAGCTCAGTGTGGCTTTGGGCTCTCAGCCCCTCCTGCTGCTTTTGTAGGGTGCACAGGCACAGATCCATATGAACACACCCCTCTCAGGCCAGGTCCCACACTGCGGGAGGGAGTCATTTGGAACAGACGACCCAGGGGTTTCCATTCGTCTGCCATTCCAGTGGAGATGGGGAAACCATGGAAGTATGCCATGTTAGATGACACAGCTCCTCTTCAATATCTAAATTAGTGAAGGAGGAGAGACAGGGAGAGGGAGGCACAGAGATAGAGAGGCAGGCAGGAGAGAGATGGGCCGTCTTCTCTCATGCCCAAAGGCGACAGTGTCCAAGGTGGTCATTCAAGGAAGTTTATTCCCACTTGAAATCTGGAAGCACCAGCATCCCTTAAAATCATTGTCCTCATTTTCCACAGACCCAGAAACCCTTTTGATTTTGAGAAGGGCACGGGCGGCCTTCACCTGGTGGTCTGGGCTGGGGCCCCAGGGATGGAGGCGGGCAGGGAGGATTCAGTCAGGTCTGGGGATTTGCTATGCTCTTAATGGGGGTCTCAGGAAAACGGGGCACCCATTCCCATCTGCATCCTCCATGCTTCCCTCCAAGGGAGGCCCCCCAGAAACACTCTTCCACTCAAGGGACAAGATGGGGAGTCGAGAGGCCTGTTCTTTTCACCCTGGGTTGCTGCTTGGTTGCTCCGTGACCCCCTCCGGGTCTGGTCTGGCCCTCTCTGGACAATCAAGGGGTGGACAGTCTCTGAGCAGGTACGGGCCTCCCTGTCATGGCCAGAACCAGGCCCACTGGGCACCCCACCCACACTCTTCCTGGGGGCCTGCTTTCCCTCTCCTCCCTCCAGTTTCCCATAGCCTGCCCTTTCCTGTCTTCCCTGGAGAGCCCTTCATGCCACGGCTGGACTGTCCAATGCCTCTGCTATCTTGGATTCCTGTGTGAACATCCGCCCCAGGGTGAAAGGGCACTGCCCACCCATCACAGGGGCACTGAGGAAAAGCCAAGAGCCCTCAGCTTGGGGGTGTGGGGGGTGACACAACAGAGACATGGCCACTGGCAGCCACAGCTGCGTGAACTTAGGCAAGTTGCCCAGCCTCTCTGGGCCTCTGTCAAGTGACAGGGCTAGACAGGACATACTCCCAGGGCCTGTCAGCTTGGGAAAGCTGCATCTGGCTGCAGGTGAAGGAAGATGCGTTCTGACCCGTCCAGTGCTCCCCTGTTTTCTCGGGCTGGAGGCCTCTGCCATTTCCCCCAGACGTATGCAACCGGGCCCGGCAGGTGGCCCCTGGCCGTGGCCGGCCTTCTCATATGCAATATTTCTTCTGGCTTCTCATGGGGATCATAGATCCCAGACTTGACATTTCCCGACACCCGTCCCCGGTGAGCATCCTGCCTGCCTATGCATTTTGGGTACAGCCCCTGTGACATGTCCCTCCCACCCTCAAAAGCTGTATTTTTCTCTGGCTGAGATTAGAGCATATTCCTTGTAAAGTATTTTTCTACATGGGGTTTTCTTAGAGCTCTCGGGAAGCACATGCCAAGGGGCTGCATTGCAAAGGCCATTGGGGTCTCTTTGGGGCCCACGCGTAAATCCGTTCTGCCAGGGATTGCAATGACGTGGGAGCTGGGGGTGGGGTGCCATTGGGATGATTTTTTAAATAAAGTTATTTAAATGCAACTGGACTGGGGTGTCTGCCTTTTTCTTTCTTTTTTTTTTTTATTATTTTTTTTGATCATAGGCTGGCAGTAGCTTCTGTTTGGATCTTAGGACATCTTACCTGTTTCATTCATTCATTCATTCATCCATTCAAAAAGTCTGCTTGGACTATGCATTGTTTTCACCCCTGGAAAAACAACATGAATAAGACGGAGGAGGTCCTGTCTGCATGGGGCTTATAATTCTAGTGGAAAACAGACAATGAACAAGGGAGTACATTGTAAAGAATTATTTCAGAATGAAAAAACAAAACAAAACAAAACAGTCATGGGGACACAGTGGAGGGTGAGAGCTTTAGCTCCGGGGCCAGGGAAGGACTTCTCTGAAGAGGTATTTGTGGGGAGACCTTAAAGACAGGAGCCAACCCTGTGGAGACGGGGAAGCACAGTGTCCCAGGCAGGGGGCGCAAGTGCGAAGGCTCTGAGGTGGGAATGAACTTGGTGGGTCAAGGAAGAGAAAGGAGGCCCAAAAGCAGAGTGGGGAGACCAGGTTGGAGGGTGCAGGGCCCAATGGTGAGGGCTTGGGTCTGGACTGGATTTTATCCTATCTGCAGGAGGAAGCCGCCGAGGCAGGTAAGTGGTGGGTCTGCTGCATGGAGCCACTTTATCCTGGGTGGGATCTCGCTGATGTCCTGAGTCTTCACTGGACATCCAGGGCAGGATGGGCCCAGAGGGCACAGCCAGGCCTCACTAGGGGTCCACAGCTCTGTGGGGGCAGATGAAGAGCTTCTTCCCATCAGCTATGCATGAGGGAGTGAGCCCCCATCTCTGGAGGTGTGTTTAGCCAAAGGCCAGATTGGGCACAGGGTACCTCTGTTCTCCCTAGTGCCGGGCGATAGACTCTGGGCCCTTCTGAAACAGGGAAGAGGGTGTGGACAGGGCCAGACCTAGAGAGGTACCCCTGTGCTACAGACTGGCTTCGTGCAGGCGCTTCTGAGTGCTTTTCAAGAATTCTCTGGATTCTCCTACAGCCTTCAGAGGTGGTTCTGTTAGCCCAGTGTCATAGGTGAGGAAATGTACAGAGAGGTTAAGTAACTTGCCCTAAGTCACACAAATAGTAAGGGATGGAATACAAGGATATGAATACAAGTTATGGCCAAAACACACAGGGAGGAGGGAGGTGGACAGAGGCCATCAGAAAGGTCAACAAGGGACGCCTGGGTGGCTCAGTTGGTGAGGCGTCTGACCAGCTCAGGTCAAAATCTCAGTTTGTGGGTCTGAGCCCACGCCGGGCTCTGTGCTGACAGCTCAGAGCCTGGAATCTGCTTCAGATTCTGTCTCCCCCTCTCTCTGCCCCTCCCCCACTCACATTCTGTCTCTGTCTCAAAAATAAAAAATATATATATCAAAAAAGAAAGGCCAACAACCAGAAAAAGCTGGGGGAGTGGCATTTTATTCTAACATCATCTATAAATAATGAGTTTATATTACTGAGGGGCACCTGGGTGGCTCAGTTTAGCTGAATGTCTGGCTCTTGGTTTTGGCTCTGGTCATGATCTCAAGCTCCATGGGATTGAGCCCCGCACTGGGGTGTTCTCTCTCTCTCTGCCTCTGCCCCACTCATACATACTTGCTCTCTCGAAATACATTTTAAAAAAACGAGTTGAGAGATGTTTGGTCTGGCGAATTGGACCCAAGAGGCTTCCCTAAAGGACCCAAGAGGCTTCCCTAAATTTGCCCACACACTGATCTGTCCAAAATATTGACCTGCACTATGATCCCAGCAAAGCTGAACCCCTCTCCTGGCCTCAGTTCCCCCACCTGTAACAGTGAGTTGAGCACACAATTCCCAACGCAGAGGACCAAATACTTCCTGTACCACTTTCTGAGGTCCTGAGGGTTCTGCCTTCTGAGGCCCCAGAGTCTGTGGCGCGACTTCTATTCGCATCCCTCTAGGGCCTACGCTCCTCCCTGCAGCCTCCCCCACTCAGGCCTGGCGGTCAGAAAGCCCGTTTGGGTGCCAGTAACTACTCCTGGTGCGTGACCTCTAATCAGCCCGAAGCCTTGAAAGGGGCAGTTTATTCCAGGTGGGGAAACCGAGGCTCAGGAGACTGTGAGGTGTCCCCAGCCATGCGGGGCGGGGTGCATGCCAGGTGGGCTTCAGTCCCCAGCGTCAGGGGAACCAGCCCAGAGCAGACCCAGGACAATTCTTTCAAAGACTTGCTCTGTGCCCCTGAGTTAAGTGTACCCCTCTGTGAGCCTCTGCCTCAGTGTCTCCATAGACAATTACCACCCCCCCCACCTTTTTTTTTTTTAATGTTTATTTTTGGTAGAGAGAACACAAGCAGGAGAGGAGCAGAGAGAGAGGGAGACACAGAATCTGACACTGAACTGTCAGCATGGAGCCCGACACGGGTCTCGAACTCCCAAACCTCGAGATCATGACCTGAGCCGAAGTCAGACGCTTAACCGACTGAGCCACCCTTGGCCTCCTACAAGACCCACCTTTGATGAGCATCCTAGGGCAGAACTGAAAGCCCTTTGTAAACTGTTAAGGTGCTTGCCAAACATGAAGAGAAACAGCCTCATCAAAACAGAACCAAGGGCACCTGGGAAGCTCAGTCAGTTAAGTGTCTGACTCTTGACTTCAGCTCAGGTCATGATCCTCTCGGGTCCTGGGATTGAGCCCCCAGTCGGGCTCTGCGCTGAGTGTGGAACCTGCTTGGGATTCTCTCTCTCTCTCTCTCTCTCTCTCTCTCTCTGCTCCTGCCCCCCTCCCAACTTGCTTGCACATGTGCACACTCTCAAAAAAAATATTAAAAAAGAAAAACACAGAACACGTGTTGGATTTTAAAAAGGAAATGTTTATTTTCATGTTATAAGGTGATTACAAACTCCTCTAAAAAAAAAGCAAAGATGAATTTAAAATATCGATATACATATTTATCTAAAAAGCAAAAGAGGAAAAGAAAAGCCCTGCAAAATACAGGGATTCATATCATAAAACATTTATACACAAAAGCTTGTATACTGCAAGACTGAATTACACACCAAGGATCTTATTCAAATACAAATTCCTCCTCAGAAGAGTCTCTCGTTGGTTGATTTTTTTTTTTACAAAAGTTTAAAATATCTTAAAAATATTTTGAAGTTTTAAAAAAAAGTCCTGATGAGCCAGACATATTTCTGGAAGGAGGCAAGACCCACGTTCTCAGCTTTCTCTTGTGCTAAATACAGAGTCACAGTTGCTAGGGATTCGAAAATTAAGTGGGTAAAAAATAAGGGGGGGGGGGGAGAAAGAAATGGAGCCAACATCTCAATTGGAAGCCAAATATATAACAAGATTCCTCAGGGAACTGTCAGAACACGTTTGTAGTGACACCCACCAAGAGAACAATGAAACATAGCTTCCGATTAAAACAAGAGCAGTCTGAGGGCCAGGCATTAACAGGGCGTTGGGGGCGAGGGAAATGCTGTTCTCTGGCTTCCAGGTTGCCCACACCCCTCTCTGCATTTTGATATCTGGGATGTTGTTTGGTTTGTGCCTGTTGGATTTTTGCACCGGGCTATTTATAGCATTCACGTGGACAGCCCAGCCTGGGGCTGCCTGACATTGGGGCTCGGGGCTGGATGGGACCTCTAGCCACCTCAGGGTTTCTCTTGGGTCCCTTCCTGGCCCGTGTCTGAGGCTGGAGGGGAAGGGAGGCAGTGTCTGCCTTTAGCCCTGGCTGCCCAGAGCATTTCCCCGACCAGAGGGGCAGTGCTGGGGAGATGCTGGCTGGGCCCCGGACCACTGTGCAGTGGCACCAGATGACACAAGATCACCCTGTGCTAGGCTGAGGGTGGCTCACTCCCCTTGGACTTTGCCACCTTCTCTAGGGGTGCGCTGGGATCTGGGGTAAGAATGAGGGAGCAGAGGTACAGAGAGGGGGCCGTGTCACCCAGAAATCATCCAAGGCCACTCACTTCCCTGCCTGGGAATGTCCCTCGTGGCCTCAGGCTAAATCCTGCCTAAGGGATTCTGCCTCTTGCACACCAACCGGCTTCACTGGGCCTCAGTTTCCTCACGTGCCATAGGGAGGTCAGCTCCTAGCTCACAGAGGGCTGTTGGGTGCAGGGCCAGGGTGAACGGGTGCCACCTCTCCTACCAGAGGGAGGGCAGTCGTCGGTCCCACGGAGCCACAGCTTGAGGTCCAGTTGGCCCGAGGATGGTGAGAGGACGGGGCGTGCTGCTCCCCTCGTCCCTGAATGCTGGGGGGACAGAGCGCTTCCTTTTTCATAAAGGCTCGTCTTTGGTCTTCAGGGAGAACACTGGGGAGCTACACGCGCCACTCATCACACACCCCTTGGAGAACCTGCGGCCAGACGGACTCCAGACAGCCCGGCTCCAGTCCCTGCTTGCCGTGCCCAGCTTCTTCCTCACAGCAGGTCTGATTTCCCCCATTTTATAAGGGCGCTGACCGGGGAGGCACTGACCACGAAAGACTGCCCACTGCGGGGACCAACACAGCCCATGCCAGGCCCGGCGAAGCATCTCCCCGGGTGAGATTTATCCTGAGGCGCTTACCCATTTCTGCATCCTAAAACAAGTTCTTTAACCACCTCCCTCGCTTCCCTTCCAGAGCTGGCCTGCTGGGCTATCTGCGGGCACTGGAAATTCTAACCCATCCCAAGGCAGAGAGTGGGCGGGCTGCCTGTTCTCCAGAGACAGGAGGACCAGAGTCATGAGCTCCAATGACAGGTTTCCTTTATGAGGAGACATAGAAAAGTCACGCACCATCACACCTTGTACTCACAGAGCCAAGTTCTGCGGAAACACAAGGGCGAGGGGAGTAGACAAGAGGGTCCAATTGGAGACAGGTGCACCGGGCGATTGTCGAGGAGCGGGCTTGGGGAAAGTGGCTGACCTTCCTTCCAGGCGGGGCCTGGGGACTTGGTCTGCATGTGTCTTTGGTCTAGAATTTGGTCTGCGAATTTTATGAGAGGCCTTTCCCAGGCCATTTCCAGAATGTTGCAATTTGCCTACCAACCCAAAATACTGTAGCCTTTCACCAGAGGGGAGACATTGTAGCCTGAAATGGCCACAAAATGCCCAGGCAGCCACAGCACGCCAGGCCCCCCTCGACCCCACGTGTCACCTGTCCCCAATCGTTGACAGTGGTTAGTTTACTAAGTTCCATGAGACAAAGGAAAACAGGTCACATTGCTACTCGGTAAAATTAGGGAAAAAAACCTGACAAAATCATATCAGACACAGCGGCAACCATAAATACATAGAGAAACAGGAACACAGAATTGTTAACAGTTTGGAATAGGACTGGGTATTGTTTGGCAGAGTATACGCTTTGGAAACAGTGAAATGTGGATGCTTGCCAAAGAGAAGAGGTTCAGAACTGCCTCTGCCCCTAGGACCCCAGAGGCTCCTCCCCTCCCGAATCTGGGGAGAGGGTTCCAGGATTCAGAGAGCCCCTGCTCCGAAAACCCGAGCTGGACCACTCTCCACGCCCCACGAGGCCGTCACTGTAATTTGTGCGTGACAACGTGTTGTATTTAGACTCTGAACTTGGAAGTGACAGTTTAAATGGCACAGTTTAGGTCCAAATGGGGGCTGGGGCGGAGACATGTCCGTCTCGGGATTTTAAAGGTGGAGTACCTTCCCTCCTGGTTCAGAGAAGACAGGCTCTTGGGTAAGCCAGTTCTGGGGTGCCAGCCCCCTGAACAATCCCACCCTTCTAGAAAATGCCCTCTCACCTCCTCTCCTCGGTCCCCACATAGTGTGTATCTAACACCAGCTACCGCAGGAGTTGTGAAGAGTTTCACCATCTCCCGAGTCACCACCAAGGGCTGCTCTTCTGCCTGAACGGGGAGGAGGGTTTGGGAGCACTTCGCCCAAGTCAAAGATCCAGGGAGGCTCCAAAAGCACTCTTGGCACTCCCAGCTAGGAGCTGGGGCAGCCCTGAGCCGGGAGCGTGTCGGGAGTTTCCCAGCCCCTGGGAGACGAGGACAGAGCTGAGTGTGGATTGCTGAGGAAAGAAAAGCACCCCTCCCTGACACCAGGCCTCTCTGAACGCCTGGGCCCACACCCTTTGGTCCACTGGCTCACCCCTCATCCCTCACCAAATACATCACGCTTCTCTCCTACAGGCAGCTGCGAGAGAGGTCAGCGGGGGGCCGGCCAGAACCTGATAGAACCCCATTAAAACGCAACAGACCCATCCGTGTGAGGGTCGGAGCCCTGAGACCGCTGGCGGCTCCCGCAATGCCGGCCTCGAACTCTAGCTGGGAAGCCGTGGGACCGCAGCCTCCCGAGGCCTCCTGAATGTCGGGGTTCCATCCTCACCAGCACCCTCTTGGGAGCTCTTACTGCCCCCGCTCCGATGAATGGTTCTGACAATCGATCTGACAGTCCTTCTGACTATCCACCCTCCATCTCAAAATAACAGCCGGGATTTTGCTCTTGGTGCAACGGTTTCTAGAGAATCAGACTTTGGCTGTAAGGCCTCACCTGTCAGCTGTAAGTCAGTCCCTTGACTGGAGGCGTTGATTCACTATTTTGGCATCTCTCTTCTTGGCTAAGACAAGTGTAATGAAACCTCTCCCTGTGGCCCTCCTTTCTCTAGCCCCTCTGGGTCAGGCCGGCTGGTGGGGCGTCCCCTCTGCTGTATGCTTCTATCTGAACCAGGCTGGGAAGGTACTACACCTTTAAAATGGGTCTCCCGTCCAGGAAAATTCCACCCTGTGTTTTTGGGGGCAGAACTTTCTGCCAGCTATACAAGCACCGAAGAATTGCTTTTGAAAACGAGATCTGTTGCTGGCAAGATCGATTCAAGTGGTAAAAGTGTATGACAATCTCTAAATGTATATATAGTTATATGTAAAAAAAAAAAATACAAAGAAAAATTTACCAAGTTCCCATAAAATACATCTAATTCAATATGAAAACTCTGCCTCGCCCCGGACATCCGCCGGTGGGTTTTCTGTTTTGTATAAAATATCCCCAAATCAAAACAAAAAACACATACACACGATACCACACACACACACGCACGCACGCACGCACGCACACAGAGTAACATTTTCTGTGACAATTAAAAAAAACAATCCTAGTGCAAATAGAAAGCTCTGTAAACCTGGTCCTATGAGAATCTAATGTTAGTAAACAGCAGGGAAGCAGCCCGTCCGCCCGAGCGCCCGAGAGCTCACATCATGGTCTCTACTATGATGTGGGTCGGTTTCATGAGAGCGCCGTTCACGGCCAGGCGGGAGCTGTAGGGCGTAGCTCCCTCGCGCTCCACGGCCCAGCGGTTGGGTTCCCTCGGGGTCAGCAGGTACTTGAGTCTCTGGAGAAGGAACAGGATGGGAGCAGAGAGGAAAGTCAGGCGTCCTAGTTCCCCTCTTCACCACAGCCGTCTATCCCCTCCGAGCCCGGCCAGTGCGCTGTTTGGCCTTTGGCAAACTAACCCCCTCTCTGGACCTCCCACTTCATCCACTAGCAAATGAAGGAGTTGAACTAAGGTGCTTCTTCTAAGGTCCCTCTGGGCCCTGAATGAGGGCAGAATTCCCGTCAATAGTTTCCTTGGCCAACCCCTGCTTGCACACCTCAGGGACAGGGGGACTCATACCGCCTGGCTCCGACTTCTTTCTCCTACGAAGCTGAAATCTGCCTCCTTGTAATCCCCATCCCCAGATTTCTCTGACTTGCAAAGCAGCTGAGTTTCTGCAATTTGTATGCCCGAGGTAGGAAGACGATTATGAGCCTCCCCTGGCTTCCTACCTTCCCCAAGGAGAAACCCCCAACTCCTCAGCCACCTGTAAACTTCATTTCCTGCCTTCTTGCATGGCCCTCCCGTTCTCTTGCAGGTGTCTAGTTCTCCCTGCTGGGGGCTCAGAGACACTGCTCGTGTCTGAGGTCCTCAGAGAGGGACCGGAGATTGGACTTCATGAGAGTTGTCCCATCACTTTGGGACAGGATGAGTTTCATCCTTCTGTCTGGTTGCCTGATTATAGAAGCAGTGAGGGAAAGAGCCTTCCCGCGACACCCAGAAGACCCTCAGCGGATTTGGGACTGGAACTCAGGGCTCCTGACCGCCAGCTTTCCCCTGCCAAGTGTCTACTCAAAGACTTAAATAGGAAGCAGCTGTGAATAAAAAAATCCTCTCTTTAGACATTTACATTCAACTTACGTATATTACAATTTTTAAGCTGCTTATTAAAAGCTACCATATCTCATTTCTTTTTTAAAAAAATGTTTTTAAACATTTATTTATTTTTGAGAGAAACAGAGACAGAGTGCCAGCTGGGGAGGGGCACAGAGAGGTAGACACAGAATTGGAAGCAGGCTCCAGGCTCCGAGCTGTCAGCACAGAGCCCAATGCAGGGATTGATCTCACAAACCGCGAGATCATGACCTGAGCTGAAATCAGACGCTTAACTGACTGAGCCACTCAGGTGCCCCAAGAGCTACCATATTTCACTCGAAAAATCTAAATTTAATTTCCATCTGCTCTTAAAACCTTGCAAGATCTGGCAACTAGTAACAGCAGGCCAGAGCTGAGCACATGGCTGCCTGCTGCAACTTTCGATCGCCTTCTCCAGGTCCCTCCTGGCCCCGAGTGAGTCCTTCCCTTGCCCAGGTTCCCCGCCTGGTTCTGGGGGAACCAGCCTGGAGGCCCCAGGGAAAGGGTAAGGGACGGAGGGCCAGCAGGAGAGCAGGCTTGGCTCCCTGCCATCATGCTGCCTCTCTATACAGCTGTAAGCCCAGAAGGTAGGACGAGAGGCAAGCAATGCCAGACAGCCACCCAGGACTCCACGTATCTGGGAGGTGCGGACAGAAGGGGAGTCACCCCGGGACGGAGCTCTCAGTTTACAAATGTGGCTCAGGGAGAAGCTCATGGCTGGGAGCGCAGACGGGAGGTCGAGGGGCACGTGACAAACAGATGGATGGTGGCTCAAATGCCTTCAGAGGACGGCGCTTTGGCTATCCACCTGGCTTGGAGGCAACCGTGAGGTGCAAGTTTGGGAAGAGGCCTCACCCACACCCTCCTCCTCCCCCC